GTTTATCAAATAAATTTATTGTTACAACTAATCGTGGATCCCTTTAAACAAAGTTTAGACTGACAAACTAATGGCTCGTCAGAATGACACCAAACCCAATGTGGATTGCTGCAATCTTAAAACTAGTTTTGGTCTCAATAATCTTGATATGTTCCATACAAACACACTTATATCCACCTTTCCATTACTGTCAGTTTCACTTTACATGTTATAGCAAAATGAATATATTTCTGCAGAAATTACCTCAGGTCTAATTAGAAGTGACTAGTTGGTGCTGCTATTTTGCACTTTAAGCAACCATAAAATTCCTCGTAAGTAACTGTGTAATGTAATGTTGACAACTATGTCAACACAAATATAATAATTGTTCAAACTATTTCCATGTAATCAACTTCAAAAGATTTGTAATTAATGTCGGAAGAATCTATTGCTTTTCTATAACTGTCTTTAAAATTACCCACAAAAAAAGCTGAATTTSATTAAACTTAGTGGAAATTAGTTATTAACTTGTTATTTTGATTCAGAATGTGTTTGTTCAAAYTCTAAAATGAAGTGATGATCTTGTCAGATGTGCTGCATCTAGTTTGTTGATGGTTCTGAGATATAAAAAAGGACTGTGGAAGACTGATGTAGTACAGYGTCGAGCTCCAACTGGAAGGGTGGAGATGGGTGAAGGAAGGTGAAGAGTTCAAGAGGCTCTTTGACCAAGGACACATCGGGGCCAAAACACTAACATGAAAACTGCTCTGACCTTCAACCTGCACCAGTCACAGGCTGTTGATGGTGTTGGTAATTATCAAGGTTTTAGTGAGTGCTTGCACGTGCACATATGAAAGTCCGTCTCCACAACAAGCACACGCTCGGTGCCAACTCACAAAGCACCGAAACGTTCAGTACTGCTGTTCCTAGATGTCCTGTGCTAATAATTATTTTTTGTGTTATCTCCAGTGTAAGTGTGCTTACACAGCGAATACCTGAAAGGTACAAATACCTAAAAAGGCAAAGGGTTGTTCAAAGGAAAATACCATCATCACAATATGACTCTGCTATTTAAACTAAGGTGTTATAGTCATTCTGGTCAAACCTTGTAAATGTTGTTCGGCACAATCWTGTGCTATTTTAAATACCTGTTCAGAGTTTGTGTTGGGGATGACTCACAGCTACTACCACCTGCGCACAATATCTGGATTGATGATGAAGTTTTGTATGGCCATTTTTGTTTTGAAGCTAATTAGCTGTGGCAGTTTGGCTGACTCGAACTGTTAGTGCTTTATAGGTGGACAGTCAAYGATTACTTTCCAAGAGTTTCACTAAAATCTGTCCTTTAGTTTGGGAGCTATTTTGCTAACAGACATTGTTGACTCTAACTAGAAGTAGTAAGCAAAGACATTATACAACATGCAGTGTGAACATGATGCTCAGCTTTTACCTTATGAGATGTTTGCTCAAACCTTGCAAAATTAAGTTGTCAGTTGACCATGATGACCATTTGGAGTTGTTGTGATACATCCAATCATCACTTTCTCATTGTTTCAATAAAAAACACCAAGTGGWTCTTAAGATAGTTTGCTAACAGACACAACTGACTTCAGTAGTTAATGAAAAAAATGTAAATGCAGATCTTGCACAATCATTAGCACTCAGAGCATGCACTGGGAATGACACTTAACTACCACCACACTTTTTTAGCTCAACCTCTCTAAAACTGGCCGAGGTTCAAACATTATTGTGTTAATGCAGTTTCTTAGCTGCAGGGGGCTTCTTGATTGGGATTGACTCTAAAAGTGAAGAAGTTGCAGAAGTGCATCCAGTGTTTACTTGTTGAGAGTTTCATTGAAATACAAGCTATGGTAGATGAGATATTTTGCTAACAGACCAACACACACAGAGATGTGTGGGAAAACATTTAAAAAAGGAGTAGGAAAAAGATGGTTTTCACATTGTCATCAACAGTGAACTCGTATTTGCATGATTTTTAATTGTGCAGCCCTGATTCAAATACGGTCAAGTGTGTCTGAGGTCTCGATGAAAAGATTAATATCATCAAGAAACTGTAAACAACTGGGAGAAACAAATGCATACGAACTGAGTTTATTTTCCTTCAGGTTGTGTGGGTGAGTGGGTGGAGGCTATATCCTGTATATTTTTGCAGGAGTACGCTCATCCTAGTGTCATTACCACAGAGCAAAACAACAACAAAAAAGCACACACTGTCATAAACACAAACMTGTCCCTTTCACCATCTTTTACGCACAAACATGTTTGCCCAGTCCTGCCCCTCAGCAGCGTAGCTTTGTTCCAGCCAGCAAGTGGGTTTAAAAAAAACAAATGACGCGTTCTGCCTTTTATTCTGTTCCGGACACTGTTGTTTTCTGTGTGTTTTTTTTTTTTTTTTTT